AATCAGTAATTAATTTCACTGACCAAGAAGATTACTGATGACTGAACATTAGTTTCCATTTAATTGCTAGAAAGATAATCTCTTAATGCAAAACAGATAATCATAATTTAAGTCTTCATTGATTTTTTCCCCTCATGGATTCTTCTAATCTGCACACAAACTTCTGAAGATCATCTCAATGCACTCGAGTAAGCCAGTATCAGGGGCAATCTCTAAAACCTTGATGAGCGTGTCACTTATTGCTGCTCACCCTCCATTCGCTGTAGACTGTGGTCAGCACTGGCTATGATTATCCTCTAAAAATAGGTAAGTATAGCAGCAGCGCAATGACAGGCATCAGCACACAGCAGATACATAACATTTCTCTTGGGGTTTCTTTGCTTCAGACACTGCATTGGACTCTTGTCTTTACCTCAATACATTAAACTACAAATATTCAGGAATACTTTTGAAATATTTTTCATTCCTACTCAATGAGTGATGTTTAGATCTACAACCATTTGCCTCCTACCTTTCTGAAGAGGATTGGATTATTCTTCATTCTGAACTTACCATAAGAATTATCAAAAACTATTTCCATGATGCTTTAAGCTAAACCCATTATTTTATTAAAATTCTCTAGCTAAAAAAGATTACAGTTTGAAGCCCTAATTCAGGAAAACATTTCATTTTTTTAGAGAGTGTATAAATGCTTATGCTTCTAAACTAGAGCTGAACTTTAATCTGTTTTTTAAGCACATCTCTGAACCAAGAGCTAAAAAACCCCGCGCATAATTCATCTTGCATTGAAAGCAGAAAACTATGCATTAGTAATAGTAAAGAGAATAAAGTAAGAAAAAATTCCCAAAAATTGGTATTCAAAAGGGATTCGAATGTAGGGAGAAAAAAAGGAGTTTGTAGGAAAAAATCAAACTCATAAGGAAGGGATTATTAAATCAAAAAAGAAGAGGACTTACAAAAGAGGAACTGATCTCATTTACTTCTTCACTTGCTCTTCTGTGGCATATTATATTCTAGCAAAAGCATGGAGAGAACATGCCTATAATGTCTGAGCAAAAAACCCACTAATATCCAGAATAAAGCCTATTTTCATTTCCTATGGACTCCAGGGACAGCTCACAAGGTATAACCTTATGCTGAGGAACACCGAAGTTCCCCAATGGTAAAAGAACTTCTTTGGACCTCTGTGCTCACTGAACTGAAAATTGCACATTTACATTTTTTACCATTAATGCAAGAACAGAGTGTTTGATTTCCATTTTCTAATCAAAACCATAAATCATGTTTGGGTAGTTGTGAACACCATCACCGGCAGAGTGAGAAAAATTTTAAATGTCGTTTTAATACAGTCTTTATTAAAAGCAATGGTGAAATAACCTTTCCTCTGGAAATCAAAACTAGCTTAGATGCTCTGCTCTCAGAGCGTCACATCCTTTGCTCACACCTTGACAAACTTCAAAGGAAAATCAAAAAGATATAGCACTGTCCCCTCTCTGCCTACAATACGTACAATGGCTTCCCTGCTGCTGTCTTCACACTGTCCCAGAAGAATCAGGATGGCAGGACATTCGGCAAGAATGTATATGTTCATTTCTCAAATTAGTTCCTACTTACTGATCTGCTGTCTTGCAAAATGAGACTTTTTTCAGAGATATCGACCAAATTACAGTGAATGACAGAAAGAAAGTCTGAACTACATATAGTCAATCCATGCAAGTTTTGGCAGTCAAAAAACTTGAAGAATTTATGAAAGCATTTCAGAAGTGTGGACAACTATGGAGTACCCAGAAAAGTACACACAGAAAGTACCTCTAAAATTGCCACAGCCTTCTGTTAAAAAATAAAATAAAAAAAAAAAAGCCAGACAACCTCAGTGCTTACACCAGTAATACTGGCTTACATCGTGTGACCTGCTATGATATAGATGGTGGGAATCTGATGTCCAGAAATCAATTTACAACACTTTGAATTCCTTAGCAAAGAAATCTTCTTGCATATGATTTTTATAGAGCTATACCAAAACAGCTGCTATGCCACATGAAATGGTTTTGTTCCTTCTATTAAGCATGATTTAAATGATTCATTCAATTATTACTTTTGTATTCAAAGATGGCTTATTTTCATGCAGATTTATGTCCTGTTATGCATAGAGGACATTCTTAATTGTGCTGAAACAACTGCAAATTTAATTAAAGTTTGCCATTCCAAGCATAAAATAGATTAAAGAAAATGCTGACAACAGTAAAATAAATATTCAACTATTTAATTTAACTCAACATTTATTTTTAATCCAAACATCAAAATAACCTTGTTTCTAATTAGAGATTCATGACAAAATGTCTTGAAGAAACATTTGTCTCTATTTTTTTCCAATCTGTTCAGCTGAAACACACTAAATTATTTATAAATCTGTTGATTAATAAATCTGTTCCAGCTGTATTACTGTATGTTACAAAGAACACAGATTAATGTATGTAAACAGCCATTACCATTTTAAAAACACAAAGTCTTGACAGTCTGCAAAAGCAGAAATCCCATCAAATACATTACAGTGCAATTATACACCTAAATCTTAACAAAGAAGGAAAGATAAGGGGCAAAGATAGCTAGTAAAGTCCAGGAATCTGTGACAATTTACAGCAGATGGTGAGATCAACTAAAAGCTTACAATAAGTTACTTGCAGTTCCTTGAACTGAGTATTATTAAAGACTCAACCATGTGTTGTAATACATGATAATAAGCAAATCCTGTTTTGTCAAAAGTTACACTCAGATGAGATATGAAGAAAGAATCTGTCCTGATTCTACTGAAACTAATTTGAAAATCTCCAATTAAGTTATGCCATTTAATATTAATTGTTGTTTTATAGGCAATACATTTAATAATTTATAGTTAACAGCCGGCAGAAGAAGAAAGGTGAGCAGGTGGGTTTCCTCTCATCCAGATTCAATAAGTCTATCTTTGACTGAGGGAAAACAAACAAACAAGATAAACAAAACAAACAAACAAACAAAAAAAAGAGAAGGGAAGGCCAGGAAAAATATATACAAATTTAACCCTTCATGTTATTCAGAAGCATTAGTTATCCAGAAATAAAGACACATTCCAAAACATTGCATATTTTTTCCCCAGCAGATTTTGAGAAAACAGAAGTGCATCACCAACCTAAAAAATATCCCAGGAATCAGAATGTTTGGAGGAAAAAAGGCTTTTTACCACATATTCACAATATTATTTTTTGTAACTTCTGAAAGAATTGGCTTATACTCTTTTTGGTTATTTTCCCTTCCACCCTAGGCAACATTATTCTCAGCAGGTAACAGACTTCAGTGGCATTACTATTATTTATATCTGTCTCACAACATACAGCTATTAACCAATTTTAGCATGGTCACCACCACTTCTAGAGGGTACAACAATCACAGTATGTTTGTGGTTTGAAAGCCATGAAGCCCAGCTGGACTACTCAAGAGTAAACATCACAAGCCTCATCCAAAGCCATCCAGTACTACCACCATAAATTGCTTGCCAAACCCTGTTCATTTCTCATTTTAATTACTTTTTGTCAATATACTTGAGCGAAGGAAACAGCTAGATGCAAAATGTAAATATTGTAAACCTCATCCTTCTAAGTAACTATCAGCAACTGGACTGTAAAAGGAAGGAAAAGTTTCTTGCAACAAAACAAAGAATGAAATATGGAAAGGGAGTTCTACTGCAAAGTGATATATTCAGCATGCACTGAGGGCAATTTGCGTGTCAACGGACCATATTTATTGTGAGGCAGGTATTCATTCCTGATGTGACTACATTTATATGTAATAAAGTGTGATGGATACTTTCATGTTTTCCTTATTTTTCTCTATCAGCTATATATGCTATTACTAAGAAAACCACAAACCAACCAACCCATCCAAAATGAAAATTTCAATATATCAGATAAGGAAATTAAGTCAGTATGAAGGATTATTAAATTCTTTCACACAATAAGAAGCAATCAAGAAGGGAAACAGCAAGGAGCAAGTACTTTTCAGACAGGAATCAAACTGGAACCCTTTACAACAAAAACAGTAAACTGAACAACAGCAGCTCTTTCCTGGTTTATTGATATACACATATCATAAAAAGAGCTTGATCCAGAATCCACTAGAATTCGTAGAAGAAAATCCTATTTTGATCTAGTACCAAGTAAACAAATCATTTTACATCAACACCTTTAGAATATTTCTTTTCAGCTTTCAGCACTTTTTTCAGTTTGCAGATATAATTATTAAAGCTTCAGGTATACTGGTCAATACAGCAACGTTACCAGGAGGCCAGAAAGATTTGTATACTGACCTTGATATTTACTATTTTATTGCTCAAAGAATTTCAATCTAAAACACACAGTCTAAAACAAATTTTCTGTAATGAAGAAGAATTCATATTTTAATAGCACTTTTTGTACAAACACCAACATGCACAGAGGAAATTCCTAAAACCATTTTCATTTTTGTTTGTGTTCAAAGACTTATTTTAGACAACTCTATATGGTATTATTGACTGAAACTCTTTTTGACAACATAATAGACTACAAAATCTCTAAATACTATGAGAAACAAAGAATACACTGTGTGATATAGTCCAAGAGACTTTCAGACCATCAGGTTTCAGACCACTGAAGCCAAAAATAAGACTTCTATTACATTAATCAACCTAGATTTTTTTTTTTAATATAGTCCATAAATGACATGTACAGCTGTTTAAGCGTTATGAAACCTCTACTACAAAAACCACCATGACACTTCAGAGAAGCCATGGCAATTTACCTCAACTGAGAACCTCACAGTATTTCTGTACACACTTAAATACATACTTGACCATCATTCCATCAGAAGGTTTTGGGAAGAGAAATCAAATACATGAATCATATTATTTTATGTGGAATTGCAGATTAAATATACAAAACAACAAGCATTTCAGAGTTTTAATTTAGAGGCTCTTTGAATAGTTGGCTTACCTGTTTAACATCGTATGCAAGAAGAACAAATCTTAAGTCTGGTGAAACAGAGTATCTTGATGCTTTGAATGTTACCTAAAATTAATAATGAAAGTGAGTTTGCAATAAGAAGGACCTTTCTTTCCAAATTTTCTTACAGTTGATTTAAGAACTTGTCATTCATGATACAGATCTGGTTTGGAACACCTATGTAATTTTCAAAAAAGGACTCAAATACCTCTTAGTCTACTTTGCTGATATCAGTACAATGGCAACAGATGAATCTAGCTTTAACACTAAATACCAATTAAGAAGCTGATGAGTTTTTTATCATGATTGCAAACACTAAGCTCAAGGATAACAACTATAACCAATCCAGTTACACAGGATGAAGGAAGACACTTTGGTTGGTGTGTACTTCAGGAATGATTATCAAGGAGATTCATCACTAGGTTAGGATTAAAGATAACATACAAGAAAAAGAATAGGTGTGCACTATGTCTCTATTGCTTTTCTTCTAACAGCAGATACATAAATACATTGCAAGACAACTTGCACTAAAGAAAAACTATTTCTTATAAGACTGAAAAGGTTTAGTGGAGAGCAAAGTGAAACATAAGGTAGCATTATAAAACTAATATTGCTTTACATCTATCCAAGACTACATGACACCCAATTGAATTTAGGGCTGTAATTTAATCAAGAGGTAAAGTTGATGTCAGAAAGAATTTAATGCATCTAATGTATGAGGAAGATAAGAATGTGCTTTAAAGGGCACTGAAGGAAATAATTTTAAATGAATCTCAAGACATCTATTTGCAGAATGAAAGGAAGAGGGAGAATTGGAAAACACAGATAAGAATATTAAAAATAACAGAACCACAAAGGTACAAGCTGAAAGAAAATAAACAGTTACATAGAACAAGATCCATCCACTATTCAAAGAAAGGCTTTCCCTTATTTTACTTCTTAAGCATCCTGTTCTTTATAGCCTAATCATCACAGAATGGTTTGGGTTGAAGGGACCTTAAAGATCATCCAGTCCCAATCCCCCTGCCCCGGGCAGGGCCCCCTTCCCCCAGCCCAGGGTGCTCCCAGCCCCGTCCAACCTGGCCTTGAGCCCTTCCAGGGAGGGGGCACCCACAGCTGCTCTGGGCACCCTGGGCCAGCGTCTCACCATCCACACAGGGAAGAACTTCTTCTTTACGTCTAATCTAAATCTACCCTCTCTCAGTTTAAAACCATTATTCCTCATCCTATCACTACACACCCTGATAAAGAGCCCCTCCCCATCTTCCCTGTAGGTCCCTTTAAGTACTGGAAGGATTTACAGGGCCTCCCTTTAAGATAATAAGGTCTCCCCGGAGCCTTCTCTTCTCCAGGCTGAACCCCGTCAACTCTCTCAGCCTGGCCTCACAGGGGAGCTGCTCCAGCCCCCTCATCATCTTTGTGGCCTCCTCTGGATCCACTCAAGCAGGTCCATGTCCTTCTGCTGTTGGAGGCCCCAGAGCTGGCCCCAGCACTGCAGGGGGGTCTCCCCAGAGCAGAGCAGAGGGGGAGAATCCCCTCCCTGGCCCTGCTGCCCCCCCTGCTCTGGATGCAGCCCAGCACACGGGTGGTTTCTGGGCTGCGAGCGCACATTGCTGGCTCACAGTCAGTTTTCCACCCACCAACACCCTCAAGTCCTTCTCCTTGGGGCTGCTCTCCATCCACTCCTCACCCAGCCTGGATTTGTGCTTGGGATTTCCCTGACCCATGGGCAGGACCTTGCACTTGTCCTTGTTGAACTCCATGAGGTTTGCCCAGGCCCACCTCTCCAGCCTGTCCAGGTCCCCCTGTATGGCATCCCTGCCCTCCACTGCTAATTTAATTAATTCAACAGGGGTTTAAGATACACAAACCAGAAGTCACAACACAAACTAATACATTCAGAGTAGGTAAGGAAGCTAAGGAGTTGTTCCAAAAAAAAAAAAAAAAAAATCAAAAGCTAACCTTCCAATAAATGGAGAAGATGCCACATTTTGATATATGCATTAAACTCAGGTTCCTAGTTTATATAATTAGAATCAAGTTATCCAAAGAAATCAGAGGGAAAATAAATAGTTTTGAAGATAAACTACGTGTTAGCTTGATGCAAGAGCATGACAGTATCAAAAGTTAGAAGATAAATCTGCAGTCTTGAGGAAAGAGAAAAAAAAACTAAAAGCATCCTTTTCTATCTACAAAGCATTCAGAACAGATTTCTACTGTGCTCAAACTAGCTTTTATGAGTTAAACACCTTTAAGCAGAGACTATGTTAATGTTAATCTATGAGTAACATTCCCTTTTCTTGCCACATCACTGAAAACATTTTTAGATGTGAAATTTCTCTGCTTTCTAGCAGTTTATTAATTATTGTGCCACCACCTCAGTCTTCAGCAATATATAACCCAGGCAGAATTCCAAATTCATTCTTAGGGAGTGTAGTGCTTACCGTTTCATACATTTAGTAAGAATCGTCAGTCACTGATTATACCACCACAAAATTAATGATGCACTTAATGCAAACACCTGAGTATCTCAGCTGCAAACTATTGGCAGTTTGAGGCAACACCAGCAAGAGCTACTCACATATTCCATATCCAAGTATAGAGTCTTGTGGATTTTGGAATTAAAATTATTTGAATCCTGCTGAAGATGACCTTGTTCATTCAGCTTACACTCACCTGCAAAACTCTGTGCCTCCAGAAATGCCTCAGACACATGGTGTACATGCAATGTCAATAAGATATAATCTATTGATTGTAGGTAATGGCATTGTTCTTGATAAAAGGAGCATAAAGCTCTTTCATACTTTTTAATGTTTCACTTTAGAAACAAGAAAATAAAATTTAGATCAGTAGAAATCATGTGTTCATTGCCAAAGCTGACAGCAATGCTGATTTCTTTATCACAAAAACATAATTAGCTAATTTTTAAAGATTTTATTTACAATCAGGACTTTAAGGAAATGTATGGTTAATTCCAATAGAATTTCAGAGAGATTTAAGTGAATTCAAGAGATTTAAATTTCCTTAGAGTTCTGTTTTGGGTTTTTTTTTGGTAAAGACAAGCACAATTTTTGCAATAAAGTCAGAAACTGTCTACGTGTATGCACAGAAGAAGTCTTTATAGATTAGCAGGAAAAAAAAAAAATCATCTGACTCATTCCTCCTGCCGAACACAGCAAGTAAATTCACAGTCAGTGAGTTCACTAAAACAAAAGACAAGATTGTGGGTTTTCTCCATGAACATGTCTAAGGTATCTCATCAACCAACAGATGACCGACTCCATGACTGAGAAGATAAAATCAGGTAGTGATGGGCTTAAAAGAAAGTTTCAGTCCCTGCTTTGGAAGTTAGACATGTGCCACTCAAGTCCTTGGGAGGTTATCTATTGGGCCAGTCACTATAGGGATTAGATATATTTATTCATGAAAAAGAAGTTTGTGAAGACTGACCCCAGGGTTTGTTCTCTTCTCAGGAGAACATATTTTTGAGTTTTAAAGAAAAACATCATATTGGAAACATTGGGAATTAAAAAACCTCGGGTGTCTTGTTATCAAAAATCTGGAGGATGCTTGTTGTGCTATCATGTCTGCATATCTGCAACTTTTCAAGTTTCCTGCTTTGTCAGGAGCCTTTGTTCAGGAAGACAGACCTAAAGTCTGCCCCATAAGACTATGCCTCTATGGTTTAGCTGTGCTTGATCTCTAAGAAATGTAGCTCTGGACAAATAAGCTCTGAAACAGGGAGAAATACAGCTGGGTAATTAGGCACAGTCCCTGGATGGAGAAGCAGGTCTAGTTTCCCTCTGTATCACTGCACAGTATCAGCTAGTTAGGAGACTGGGGGTAATTTAACACAGTGCTGGATTGTGAACTCCATATATACCCTTATCCCCTTTCACAACTCCCTCACAACAGAGGAAAGGCAGAAGATAAGGAAAAGGGGAAGGTAATTTCCTTATGTCCCTAATATTTGTTAGTTCTACCTAGCCATGTCACGACCTAAATTCCCTATGAAAACCATCAGCTGTACGCAACTAGAAAATATTTTGACTAGTCAAATTGATGGAATCCCTAAATTAGTTATGTTTCACACTGTTGCATAATTCTGAGACAAAAAAAATGTTTTTTAAATACCTGTACACTGTCTTTTCTTCTTAATTCACAAATCTCACATCCATTTTTCCTATATTGCTGAATTTGACATCATATCACTTTTGCAGACATAAAGAATGATCATGTATCTGATCTTGCATTCCCCACCCAATCAAAACCCCCACTGTCTGTATAATTAGGTCTAACCATATTAAACACTGCATTTCTAGGTTTCTTTGAAATACCTCATGTGACAAGAGTTTTAATTCTTCTCCTGACAGTGATGCATGGTGTGACCATCCCATGGACAAGCAATGACTGTTAGGTTCCACTGTCACCACAGATTGCAGGAATAAAAGCCAAACGGAGGCAAAATGACACAGTGCACTTAAACAGTCTTTTGCTCTTCAGCTTTCCAGCTTCCTTCTCTCATCAACATTCCAAATTTGTCTTGCTAAACATAGTTTTGCATGGAAAGGAAAGAAGATGAGAACAGATTTAGAAGGTAAGAGTGAAAGCAAAAGAAAAAGTGACTCTGCAACAAATAAATATAAGGGACAAGCCCCTCACACACACAACTGGCTTCCACCTTTCCATATGGATATCTGAAATGAAAAACAAAATTCTGATGAACAATATATTCTCATTTGATTTCAAATGCCAATATTTTGCATTGATGATTTTTTTTTTTTCGTTTTGCATTTTATGTGTGTTTTGCTGTTAACAGAAATGCCTGTTATGATTGTGTTTAAGAGAAGTTTTAGTCTGACTTTAGGTTCTGCATCCTCAGCAAGGGCCCTTTGGTACCAGCTCCCTTTTATTTCTTCTGTTTTCTTAAAGCCTGGTTCTGAGTTATTGATTTACTGGCTACTCCCTTCATTTTTGCTCTATTCTTTCACCTACTATAAAACATTGGTTTACTGCTTTTGTGGATTTTAACTACTATAACATTTAAATCAGTGCCTTATTCACAG